ACATAGCAAAAGTAGCAAAAGTAAGTTTCACTTCTACTTGTGCTGAACTACTACTGACTTAGAATGCCATTGTCCAAATGCTAACCTTTGCTGTACTGTCTTTGTTTCTGGAGTGGTGGTGTACAGATCCAGAAGATAATATATATTCCTCCAGCACTTGGGAGTTGCAGAGGCTGCTGGGATGGGTGTTGGAGCCTCAGCAGGTCCAAGCAAGGGCGACTTGTCTGAAGAGCAGATGGTGGCTCCCTCCAGACCAGAGCCACTTACACTGATACTGAAGAGTGGGCTGCCTGTGCCACGCTCAGCCCCAAGATTGGTATAACCTATACATAAAACAGGATTCCTTTATGATCAAAAGACAGACTGTTTAACTTTCTATTCTTCTATTCATTATAATGCCTTCAAATACTCATGCAGCCATATGTAAATTAAACAGAACTGGTTCTCTATTACATATATGGAGGCATATGATCCTATTACACTTTTCTATCTCTCCCCTCGCCTTCAAACACAGTCACACATTTTATTAGAAATTAGAAAAACATAGTAGATCATAAAGTACCAGTTCATAAAGCTATACTCCACAAACATCAGTGTCACCAACATCTTCATTTACCTTTGCTCATTTTTGTAGAGGATCGGAACCTCTGCGCAAAACTCTGTGGTCTCATGACTCGAGAGGTTGGAGGTTGTGGGGATATGCGTGCAGAGAGGGATGAGACAACTGACCCCCGTGGACCCTTTATGCCAGCTAATGATGACACAGTAGCCTGCTCCTCACTGATGCTGATGCTATATTCTGCTCCCTTATATTCTCCCTCATGTAGTTCTAGAACATTCATTATTAGATGTAGTTATCCATAAAGGATCAAGCAAGAAATATCATGAAGAAAGTAAAGTTCAAATACTTCATCCAAATTTTCGTCCTCCACACCCTCATACCTGAATAAGAACCATCTTTGTGATGTGGAGGTAAATTGGTGTCCTTAGTGCGAGTTGGTCTCTGTTCCCGCAATCCCAACTGCGTTTCTCTGGCATTCTGATACATTGAACTAATTTGGTGTAGTAGTCTTAGAAGGGGCATATTGACCTGGAAGACATGAAAAATGTTTGTCTAAGAAAATGTCAAAGAACACCATGTTTTCTCTGGCTCACACTAATACAAAAAAATTATATTGACTAAATTATGTAAAACTAAGTCTCATAATGAATAACAGAATTTACAATGCTTTCTGTGCGTAAAGATAATAATACAAACCTGCTGAGCAATATAATGGATATTCAGAGAGAAGTGAACCATGGTTGAGGTGTGTTGTTTCAGGGCACTTCTTGAAACAAAAAGTGTTGGCTGGTGAGTGACCCATTCTCGAGAATCATCGGCTACTTTGCTGACATCTATCTCAAGTCCAACACGTTCACATAGGAAAGCTGGGACTTCACTGCCAATATCCAGGAAGAATTTACCTGTAAAATTTTGAAAGTTATATTAATTACACAGATAATACACCACATAATAACTAAAGAACTTAAATCTTGCAGGTATACAAAAACTATATCATATATCATGACAGAGGCTCCCCTTAATGTTATAATATATAAACACACACACACACACACACACACACACACACACACACACACACACATACACATACACATACACATACACATACACATACACATACACATACACATACACATACACATACACATACACATACACATACACATACACATACACACACATACACACACACACATACACATACACACACACACACACACACACACACACACACACACACACACACACACACACACACACACACACACACACACACACACACACACACTCACTCACTCACTCACTCACTCACTCACTCACTCACTCACTCACTCACTCACTCACTCACTCACTCACTCACTCACACACTCACACACTCACTCACAAACAAGCAAGATACTATGTATAATGATTTGACCAATAATGATACACAATATTCCACAGATATATATTTAAAAAAGGTGTAATGAATGGGACAGAGATATTCTATGGTATTCTCGAGCATCTATTTCTATATTCTTAGAATAATAATAAAAAGAATAGTATCTCATGGCCAGCATCAGGACCAAAATCCAAGCATAAGGCTTGCTTCTGTAGTGACTCTTCCAGCTCTGTGGCTTGCAGGTCCAGTCCATGCAATCCCTCATGTGTGATATCAAGATGCCATGCCTCCCTTTTACAATGTTATTATCTCTTATCATTATCATCTCATGTATTCTCTGTTTTTTTTTATTTTTTGCCAGAGCCCCTTCCTAAATGCCCACTATATCTAATCTAGTCAAACTGGATGAATCTTCATCCTTCTATCTGGATACTCAAATATGTGTCTGCATGTGTATGGTGTATGTATGTACATATTGTGTGTGTGTGTGAGTGTGTGTGTGTGTGTGTGTGTGTGTGTGTGTGTGTGTGTGTGTGTGTGTGTGTGTGTGTGTGTGTGTGTGTGTGTGTGTGTGTGTGAGTGTGTGAGTGTGTGAGTGTGTGAGTGTGTGAGTGTGTGAGTGTGAGTGTGAGTGTGAGTGTGAGTGTGAGTGTGTGTGTGTGTGTGTGTGTGTGTGTGTGTGTGTGTGTGTGTGTGTGTGTGTGTGTGAATATATCAATTAATTAATTAATTTCATTAATTAATCAATTAATTAATCAATTAATAGATAGATAAATGAATAAATAACTAATTAAATACTATTGAAGATACACGTTTTTCAGGGACATTTGACAAAATTGGAGTGAAAAAGTTAACATAATCCAAAACTTCAGAATTACAATTACTGCAAATCTGTAATATTGGATTCCATAACATGCTATAATCACTTCAAGTTACATTTATTAATGTGCTGTATCTAATATAAAGGGAGAGGGAGAGGAAGAGGGAGAGGGAGAGGGAGAGGGAGAGGGAGAGGGAGAGGAAGAGGAAGAGGAAGAGGAAGAGGAAGAGGAAGAGGAAGAGGAGAGGAAGAGGAAGAGGAAGAGGAAGAGGAGAGGGAGAGGGAGAGGGAGAGGGAGAGGGAGAGGGAGAGGGAGAGGGAGGGGGGAAAGGGAGAGGAAGAGGGAGAGGAAGCAGTAGAGGAATAGGGAGAGGAAGAGGAAGAGGAAGAGGAAGAGGGAGAGGGAGAGGGAGTGGGAGTGGGAGTGGGAGTGGGAGTGGGAGAGGGAGAGGGAGAGGGAGAGGGAGAGGGAGAGGGAGAGGGAGAGGGAGAGGGAGAGGGAGAGGGAGAGGGTGAGGGAGAGGGAGAGGGAGAGGGAGAGGGTGAGGGTGAGGGTGAGGGAGAGGGGAGAGGGAGACGGAGAGGGAGAGTGAGAGGGAGAGGAAGTGGAAGAGGGAGAGGAAGAGGAAGAGGAAGAGGAAGAGGAAGATGGAAAGGGTGAGGGAGAGGGAGAGGAAGATGGAAAGGGTGAGGGAGAGGGAGAGGAACTGACAGACAGACAGACAGACAGACAGACAGACAGACAGACAGACAGACAGACAGACAGACAGACAGACAGACAGACAGAAAACAGACAGACAGACAGACAGACAGACAGACAGACAGACAGACAGACAGACAAACAGACAGACAGACAAATATATTGACTGACTAGCTGAAAAAGAGACCAAATGTGTGTGAATGGATGTGTGTGATACAGTCTGTTAAATGAACTTTTCTAGTCTAGATTTTTATCACTTTTATGTTAATACTATCAAGCAAAGTACATGCAACTCAGACCATTTCCATTGGTACGCATACTACTGAAGCTGATCAAAATGCTGTAAGAAAGGCATTTGAAGCATACTACAGCAAAGGGAAAGCACTAAAAAGGAAGAGCACAAAGACTATAATTGAAGTTACACTTCTTGGTTAATTTTTCTAATGAGGAAGTATTTTAATTTCTTAATGTAATAACAGTGATTCTGGATTTCACTTAGCAACTCATATGTTATACCTGCACATACATTAATAATCTATTGAAGATATATGTGAGCAAATTTCTAATTCCAACTGCATTATATAAATCTAATATTATTTCATATTATCCATCTACTGCACACATAATCATATGAATAAGAATTCTACTGTACAAAAAAGGTTTTCTTCCCACATTAAACAAACCTTTGTTTTGGATACGACCAACCTTCTTCACTGTATCTGATTAACCTGCTTTGAAACTGATAACACCCTGAAAATATGCTTCAAAGGAATCTCCTAGGGAAACATTTTCTAGCCTTTCCAGTCATGCTTACTTGTGATCATAAAGTTCTGGCAAAGAGCATGGCTTAGCACAAGAATCTATAAATTTTATGTTCACCACCCCCTAGCAAATATGCACGTATAACTGCATCTATGTTGCAAAGCTAGGCTGACGGCAATGTGCCAAAAGACTGTGAAAATAAAGAAAGGAGAGGTAACCAGACTAGCCCATTGTTGTCCAGTTATAAGCGATCACATACCAAAGAGGAATGTGAGTATGGGGTGGTAAACTCATTGTTGCCGACAGCTGAAGACAATTGCAGTTTATTTTGCAGGCAGGCGATGTCTTCACTTGCATTAATCTATTGATCAACCTACCAGGAACCTCTGAGTTGTCCCCTGATGTTGCAGGTGTGTTACCTGGATGAAGGCCAGTTTTGCGCTTCTTCTTGTTTAGTTTGGAAGCTTCAGATTCAATGATGTCCACGCGGAGAGTCTCAACACTCGCAGTGATGGAAACGTTTGATCCCAGCTGCTCGAGGGCTCCTCCTGTTACCTGTAAGTTTACATAATACACTGTAGTATATCAAATATTGCATAATACTGTCAGTCACAAATGTATATGATATATACACATGCATGGAGTGTGCAGCTTGTGAGTGTGTTTTGAAGTTTATTAATATCTATCAATAATTAAAATACTGCATCATTAAAGTTGGAATTACAGAGAAAGTGAAACATTATAATAGCATACTTCAGTAGTTTTAAATAAAACTAAGCACATTTACTAGATCTGACTCATTAATAATAATGAGATGCCTGTACTTATGAAAACTAGGTACCTCAGATCAGTGAACTATTTCTGAATACCACAGCAGAGATAACGTTTCAGGTAGGATTTCTTTATAGATACCAACCTTCAGGCATAAATATGTAAATATATGATGGCAGTAAGCAAAATTATCAAACACACATTATGGAAGATGACACAAACCTGTTGTGTTATTACACCAATTGCAGAGAGCAATGGTTCAAAGATCACATGAGCCTCAAGGAAGTGGGCACCCTGAGGCTCAGGCATTATATTTGAGTCCTTAATAGGATGATGCTCACGGCGATCACTGCCTCCTTCATTTACTGTATGAAGGCCACTTTGCTGTTAGGAGATAGTGTATATATGAATAATTTGCAAATCTGTTATTATCAACAAAAATAATAATAATAACATTAACCTTTTTCTGGCTACTCTCTCCTCATGAAACTAAAAAGTTCTTACAATATAGGGAGACTCTAATGAATATTTTTGGTGTAGCAGTCACAAACTATTAGCTTATTCCAGGATAGATACATGTGTTAGATACAGCCATTTAATTATATATATTGACTGAAAAAAATAGACTATGGCAGATATAATGAAAGAAAGCTTTCTCACAGTCAAAATACTTACATGAGGAAAAGTCACAGTGGGCTTAGTACCATCATTGGCATGGGTGTACTCCTGCTGCCGCACCATCCAATTGTAAAGATCGTCATGATCTTTCTCGCAACCCACTGTGGGAGGCCGACTCGGTGTTCCCATGCCTGATCCCCCAACACCTTCACAACTAGATGAGGAAATTTGATCTGAACCAGAGGTGTGGCTGCCCCTACTGCGATCATCTGCTGCTCCACCACGAGCCTGGTTACCTCCGCGCAAAAATCCCAGGTGTCCACCAATGCCTGCTCCAATTTTTGGAAACTGGAATCTAACAACAAAAATTTAATTTAGTAAAAAAAAAAAAAAAAGAAAAGGAAAGAAAGAAAAACAAAAAAAGCAATACCAGGATGATTTAGGAATTCTTGCAAACTACATTCACTTTTTCAATTCCACCTTCTAGACTTTTATACTCCACATGCAAGAATATAGGTACAAGCATATTTGGTGACTAATGAATGATCACCATAACAGCATCATACCTAGCAGGGGATTCGAAGTTGGTGTTGAAAACAGGCAGAATGACTGATGCCCTTGAAGAGCGAGGTGGGTAGGATGGGAGAGAGCGTCTGGGAGGGAGCTGGGTCGAGCTGGAACTCAGTACTCCCTCAGTGACATCTTCACCTCCAAGAGTGCCACTCCCATCTGAATCTTTCAAGGAAAAGTACAACACTCAAATAAAGATGCATATATAGGTCTTAGTGAAATTCACTCAATCTTTTCAATCTGGACTTTACTTCATAATTGAAATATCCATCAAATAAAATGTCTAAGAATACTTTATATAAAAAAGTTAATATCATGCAAAACTGTATCACTCATGAAGAAAAGAGTCAAATGCAGTAAAGGAGTATAATGAAAAAAATATATAATATATATAATACATACATCATATATATATATATATATATATATATATATATATATATATATATATATATATATATATATATATATATATATATATATATATATATATATGCATATACATACATTATATATATATATATATATATATATATATATATATATATATATATATATATATATATATATATATATATATATATATATATATATATACATTTATGTAACAGAAAAGATATGGGGTAGTAAATATGTTTTCCTGGGGTATATGCATATAATTAAGGATACACAAAATACCTAAATAAAAGATATTATACACAGCTTATTTAGAGATCCCACTTATCATCAGAGGATTGGGATCTAGAATCATTCCTGAAGAGAGCTGGATTCTTGTATAGTTCTACTCAGCCTTCAAGATATAACACCCTAATATGCCTCTCCCATCATTTCACATCCACAATCCTCCTTTCCTCCCCTGCACTCTCATCAAAGATCAACTATGATATCCTTGGCACTTTTTAACTGGGTAACATTATTTCAAAGTTAATGGGACAGATATTTAAATTAGTTATACTTCGAGAAATGCATATGGTGGTCAATTTCATATTTGATGTACACATACCAAATTAACAATCTTAAAGGAATTTCTTTTGTACTGTAGAATCATCATGAATTATTTTCAAATGATGAATAATTTTCAAATAATTATTTGTGTGTTTTCTAAGTAATGTACAAGACATGCATCTAATCATGACACATCTTGAAAAGACAAATATAAATTTTGAAGTATGAAACATGGAAATTGAGCAAAAAATCATTCAAAATAAATAATTATATAAGAGCCTAAAAATCTTGGGTCACACAGCAAATCTTAGAATCAAAAAATTACTACCAGCTTCATACAAAAATATAAGCCATTTCTAAGAGTCAATGAAGAATATCAAGGTATTCCTGAATTTCTTTACCTTTTGACTGTTAGCCTCCAAAGTCCCTGGACAATTAGTTTATGATAAAACTAATACTAGAACATCAATAATTTATAAAATTCATTCATATGGTAATCTATGCAAGCTTTATTATTGTTAATAACAACAGCAATCTTATGTCTTTACATATTTTCAATTTGAACTGAAAACCAAACCTCTGTATATGCACAATAATATAATCCCTGCAAACACATATACAAAGATGCAAACAAAAGCATACACAAATCTATGTATTTCTGCATATTATTCTAGATAACTTCTTGAAATTAATTCATCGAAAAGACATTCAGTGGAATGTGGGACTTTGGGTAACTGCATATCAGGGTGACTTCTCTGCTACTACAGTCAAAAGGTTACAAAGAAGTAGAGAAATGCAACAGACATATTCACAATCAACAAATACATGTGTATCTGCATACCTGATACACACAAAAAATACACATATGAAAACACATACATACTCAAGTGTGTATGTATATATCTGCTTGTGTGTGTGTCCCCATATCTTTATGTTTCTGTTCATCATCTGTATGTGCTTCTGTAGGTGTGCTATGCATGACAGTGGGATTGTATATGCAATATGTTGTTACTGTGGGTGGAGACATAGGTGAGTGTGTGGGTATAATTGTACACATGTGTTTTGCAAGTGTGTCTGGAATGGTAAGCATATCAAATTTCATATCTTTTTGGATTTTGTAATAAATGCATATATATGTATGCAATGATACATTTTTTGGACAAAGCATTAACAGTGGATGTTAATAAAATGGCAGCATGAGTATAGTTAGCAGTTTCTTTTATCAATAACGCACAATCTATATAGTCTAATAGACCCCTCATCAATGAACAGACATAATCCGTAGATCCAAATGTTTAGCCTCTCTCTCTCTCTCTCTCTCTCTCTCTCTCTCTCTCTCTCTCTCTCTCTCTCTCTCTCTCTCTCTCTCTCTCTCTCCTCTCTCTCTCTCTCTCTCTCTCTCTTTCCTCTCTCTCTTTCCCTCTCTCTTTCCCTCTCTCTTTCCCTCTCTCTTTCCCTCTCTCTTTCCCTCTCTCTTTCCCTCTCTCTTTCCCTCTCTCTTTCCCTCTCTCTTTCCCTCTCTCTTTCCCTCTCTCTTTCCCTCTCTCTCTCCCTCTCTCTCTCCCTCTCTCTCTCCCTCTCTCTCTCCCTCTCTCTCTCCCTCTCTCTCTCTCTCTCTCTCTCTCTCTCTCTCTCTCTCTCTCTCTCTCTCTCTCTCTCTCTCTCTCTCTCTCTCTCTCTCTCTCTCTCTCTCTCTCTCTTTCTTTCAGTGCTTCTTTGAGATTATTCAGTGCTAATAATTCAAATTGGAGCTAATGATAAGAGCTATTCTGAGTTCCCATATACAATTACGACTAAGGAAATTCCTCTCTCCAGCACCCAGTATTATCTACAACATTTATACACCCATTTGCATTATCAGAAATTTCTTCCAACAGCCAGTCTCTACCCCCTATCAATTCATTGAATGTGAGTGAGTGAATATATATGTGTGTGTGTGTGTGTGTGTGTGTGTGTGTGTGTGTGTGTGTGTGTGTGTGTGTGTGTGTGTGTGTGTGTGTGTGTGTGTGTGTGTGTGTGTGTGTGTGTGTGTGTGTGTGTGTGTGTGTGTGTGTGTGTGTGTGTGTGTGTGTCCATATATATATATATATATATATATATATATATATATATATATATATATATATATATATATATATATATATATATATATATAAAATGTGACCATCTTTAAGAGTTTCATCCAAATGCATTTATAATCTGAAAACCTGTATATCGTATCTGGAATCCATGCTATGAGTATAATCTCATGCATAAACATCTTACTTGCATAAGAGCAGCAAAACCTGTGCATAATTAATAAAGCCTGCATATTTGGTTGAGCAGTATATTAACATCACTAAATCATTCATTCGCCAGTTATTACCTAAACAATTCACATCTGAGGCAAATTTTTAAAAAAAGAAAAGAAAATGTAAACATATTGAGTCACAAAACATTTACCATATATTTTCAATAATAATTCCAAAATACAAGTTACTGTAACCTCTTCCTAGTTGCAGCAGAAAACAAGATATGTAAAAAAAAAAAGAAAAAAAAAATTCCAGCTCTTTTCAGACTATTTAAAAAGGTTTCGAGTAGGGACACAATTTCTATCAAAGGTAAACATTACTTATAAAACCAAATGGTCAGTAATTTCCATTTCAAATAAAAACAAGCCACACAGCTTGACTTGTGTGTATATATGTTTACATCTTGGAGGGCTAACATAAACTATATACTTTGCATACCTCAAGAGCAACTCTACATAAGGACCTTTAATGCATCCTACAAGTCTGGCCAGCATGAACAAAGACATGGTACATTTAAGGTGAGAGGTGTGTACATGAAAGAGTACCAAGACCACTGTCCCAACCTAGGGTGCTCAGGGAGATGCAATCCCCAGCCCATTTCTCCAGTATGTAGAAATGTTGTACCAGCAGCATCATGGGGTCAGGACAGTCCTCACCTCCATCCTCCTCCTCCACACAGCCTCCACAACCTTGACTCACTTTACCAATGGTATATGCTCTTAAACTGGAGGACAGTGTTCACCCTAACACAGGCTATTTTTTCAAAATCCTAAATATCATTAATTCAACTGCTGTAATACAAAAAATGTTCAAAAGGTCTCATATTTGGGTTTTACTGCTTATTCATGTCAAATGCCCTTGGATGGAGCAGAAAATAATTTCATATTTTGACCATAATGTTTTTTTATAAACAACCATGTGAAGAGAATGCCCATTAGGTCAACTATGAATCTAATGTATATAAAATTGTCTTTAGAAAAACAAAAAAATGAAGTAGCCTAGAAATTGCAGCTTTAAATATATTGATTCTTATTTATCAGGCGTAATTCAATAAGTTTCATATTGAATAGATTTAGAATAATTCTGATTATTTGTTCCAATATACTGATGGTTTACAAATTGCATATAAATTACATTCAAATACAAAATGTATCTAGTATTATTGTATAATAATATGAATAATGTAATATTCCAGATTTTCAAAGTAAATATGATTCTCATGTATAATAAATGCTGTAACCTTGTTGTGTTACAAGTAAGGATGCTGTGTGAAGTGTCAGAGTTCCAGAACTATTGTCAATATTTATAACATAGTTGTGGCCGGGCAGCTGAAGCTGAGTTCACTGACTGATTGTTGGCAAGCAATTCTAGTCCATGTCCTCCCATGTTCTCCCATTCAGATTGCCATGTCTCATTTGCCATTTCATATATGGAGGGATGGCATCCAAATTAAAGTGAGAAGTTTGAATCACTGAAATTCAGTTAAATAAAAAGTTTAAAGCATTTATATTAAATCAAATAGCCTTTCATGAAATCTTTTCAATTGCATGGCAAGACATTAAGTGATCCATCAGAAAGTGCATAAGGTAACCTGGGCCTAGCTATGTGCTGAGGGAGGGAGAGGTGCCAGTTTTTAACCTTCCTATGTCATATCACCAATGATGATATCTTCCAAAAGCCCCCTTTTAAAAACAAAATTCCTATTTAATCAAGGCTCAGCTTCCAGGATTTTAGGGGAACTTTCAGGAAGGAAACCGCTTTTGGAAGAGTGTGGAGGTTAGTATGACTAACAACAAAAAATTGGCACCAAACCTAATACAATTAATGGCCTAAGCATGATGACAATAATTCAGATGCAACAGAAACAAACAAACTGAATATCTGACACTTCCCAACAGCAATATAAAATTATATTTAAAAAAGATCATACATACACACATATATATTTATCTCTATCTATCTATCTATCTATCTATCTATCTATCTATCTACCTATCTATCTATCTATCTACCTATCTATCTATCTATCTATCTACCTATCTATCTATCTATCTAACTATCTGTCTATTTTTTTTTTTAGGTTTAATTATAAATTGAAGAAATGGGTGTTAATTTATATCTAATATCAAATCTTACAAAAAGTGTCCACTAAATGAAAATCCTCTCAACTTAACAATCACATAACCATCATATACTCCTAAGCAACCACTAATTCATTCCTATGAGACTCATTATCTGAATACAATGGGTCAGGAACCTACTTAGATACAAACTAAATCTGCTCTTCTAAGAATTCAAAAGATTTGCTTCTACAAACTTAATTAAATGATTATGTGAATGATGATAGTGGTGGAATGAATGTATGCTTAAACATTATAAATGTCATTCACTGTCTTTTTTAAAATGAGTATAAATCAAAAGGTAAAAGATTAAGAAGAAAAAGGAAATGAAGTTTTAGGATGATCTTTGCCTCGGAGATATAACCGGTGATGAAATGTCCTAATTTCAAAATACGAAAAGGCAAGCCATACCCTGCGCTTGTCGGGAGTGTAGTGACCCTCCTTCAGCCTCAAGAAGCGTTGTTTTCTCATCTGTTACTTCAGTTGCTATTAGGGTCGGATCAAACTTTGGTGTTGCTCGACCCTCTGGTGCTGCATTTGACCTGTAAAGAACAGTGTCAAAATGCTGGTCAGGCTGGGCATTAGATTGGAAAATTTACCACATATACAGGAGTAAAAATGAAGATAAATTACAATTAACACATAAATAAAAAGACATATTAAATTGCTCTTATTATATGAATCTTAAAATTATGAGTATCTAAAAGTAAAAACTGCAAAAACTGAAAAAATATACCAGGATGTAATTTTGTGATATGTAATAATATGTAATGAGGAGATGAAATGTGGGAAAAGCAAAGAAAAGGGGGGGGGGGCTGGATGAAATAATAATACAGTGTCAAAATTACTAACTCACACTCGCTACATGCACTCACAAGAAGAAAGAGGCAACCAAATGCAAAGGTGTCATTAACTCAGAGAGAGAAGGGTCTACAATAGGAACAGGAGTATGAAAGTGATATTTTAAGTGTGCCTGAAGGAGACTTGCCAAAGAATACATGACACATTAAGGGCACTACATTTGTCTTAGTATAAAGAGAAAAGACTTTAAACAATCATGGTGAACAGTATTGCCTATACAATATGCAGAAAGCCACAATCCTGGTTTTCTGGTATTGTACAGAATTAAAGGAGTTGAGCCTTTTCCGTGAGTTCCCTATCAAAAATGACCTCTGGGTTCACAGTGAATCCTGAGGGTGATGATAGCCCAATATAGACATTAATAATAGACATTAAACTCCCTAGACCAGCAATTCCTCAAAGCCAATACCTTGATAATACATCATCCATGACACATACGACCATCATGCCAAAACACTGTAGTTCAAGACTACACTCAACATAACACAGTAAAAAAAATTGTACACTAACCTGTAATTAAATGTTGGCCGTGCTTGCTTGTTTCTAAATGTTTGTTCCATCAACAGTGGCATATACAATGCATTCTTCCACTGCCGACTTAGTACCACTACACCCTGTGATAAAACAGTAATAACTAATTACTATATTGGTAAAATTTTTAAGAAAGGATTTATTAGGGTAGGAATGGGCAGAGTAACCTTACTTTGGCCCTTCAAACTCATAGGTGCTAAGAAAACTATATATAGGTATAGAGGAGATATGACAAAAGGCTGCCGTGACTAGGCCACTTCTGTGATAAGGACACAGCTCAAATATATGGTAATGTTTTTAATTGGAAAACCCATACAAGAAGTTACAGTCAAGATAAAGATCCCTATCATATAAAAATCTTAGTCTGTAAAAGACGATTATAACCAAGTGACAGGAAGAGTAAAATAAATAGGAGAAAAGGAAAAGAGAGATGAAGATAGGGATTATAATTGAATTTTTTTATCAAACCAACATGAGAAACACTTTCTTACATCATCTTTGTTTCACATTATACCTGTCTCAGAGTAGCAAGCTTGGGAAGATGTTGTGGTGTTAAGTTGCTCTCAATGGTGCGTGAAGATGACTGCAGAACATAACGACGCAACACTGTGCACAACTGACAAGAAGGATCTTCTTGGAGAGTTTGACTAAGGGGCATCAGCTTGACATACTTATTCTGAAACAGTAAATAACATCACAAACCTTAACCAATAATAAAAATAAACAAATTGAATAAAATCAAACAAGATGCATATCCTGTTTTAACAAAATAAATTAAAGCTCATTCCTGTACTTCAATACACATACCTTGACAGGTACATGCAGACTCTGCACATCAAGAGCTTCTGCCATAAGGGAGGCCATGACCCCCAGTCTGCGAATCTCTGAGGCATGCAGGAACTGGATGACTGCAACAGTGAGTCGGTCACTTGGGTTCATCCAGGCATTGATTGAGGGAGATGCTGTACTAAGCAAATTCCAGTCCAGTCTGGGAAAAAGTGAGGAAAGGATAAGGTTGGAAATTATATTTTTCAAAAAAGTTCAGACAATCTTTTCCTGTCATTTACTGCACTAACTACATCTACTATATTTCATATAACTAAAGAAAAATACCCTGCCAAATATTGTCAATATTTACAATATTTACCTTGTGAAATCAATTTTCTTAGTGAAAGGAGTGTGAGGAGGGGCAGCAAAATTGAACCAAACAGTCCTCAATTCCACCATGAAAGATGTAATATCACGTTTGTCTTTGGTCTGAAATATAAGCACATACTTAGGTATGACACTGTACGGGCCATTCCAACATCAACAATAGCATCTTTGCCTGTAAACCATTTGTTAGTCAACTCTACAATATATATAGATAGGTCTTCTACATGTTTTAAAAGCTTTTCTCAAGTAATTCTGAAATGATACATTGTACTGATGTATGATATGAACATTCAAGACCCAAATGACATCTAATCATATAACTACATATAATTCTTCTATGACTGTAATTCAGTTCACACATCTGAATCATACTATTTTACTTCAAAGAAATAACAAGTTTAAAATCTTACCTGTACTACTGGTAAATCTTTCACACTTTCATTTGCAGCAGATGAATTGGAATGGGGGACTCCAGAATGGCTTGACATGTTAGACATCTGAGAGACAGAGGACGATCCTAGTCGTTCAGAAAAGTCCTTGCGGATCTCAGGTCCTGTCTTTGTAGGCTCATTTGTGGCAGTCCCTGGTGCAGAGCTTGAGCTCTGACCAGCGCCACTAAATGCTGACGTAGTTGCTCCATTGTTTCCTCCTGCTGTAGTACCATCAAGCTTCCCACCTTCAGGCTGCTGGCCAAAGCCTTTTCTCTTTACAGCTCTGGAGAATGTAACAGGTAGTAAAGAATTTACTCATTTCATTTTTCATTACATATTTGAGACTCTGTGACATAGATACGAAGAGATCATTTCCTAAGGATGCTATATTCATGCCAACATACAAATTAATAATCTCAGATATAGTTCTTTGTTACTTACAATCTTAAAATTACCTGTGTTTGCAACTACTCATGATTATTTAAAATAAGACGTAGAGCAATATACCTTAATGCAACATTCTCCAAGCCTGCCTCAAACATAATGAAACCCATTCTGTCATCTTCCATAACTGGGGTTCCTGCTGAGCCTCCAATGTCTCCTTCCTCGCTGTTCACACGAGCGCAGCGCTTGAAGGTAAACAATACCTGGGGGAAATATTAATGTTCATTAATTGACCTCTAGAAAAGCAGTCCAGGAAGATTCAACTTACTAGCCATTACCTTTTCCACTTTTTGTATATGCTCTAAAACCAAAACCAGTAAGTATTCTTTTATTATTTTGTCAACTTACTTTAGATCTGTGGTTTGGTACTGCTGTTATGCTAGCATCCTTTAGCAAAACACTTTCATTCTTGAGGCGCCTCAGCTGGACATGCATCTTGTTCACATCAACAGACATCATATTTTCCTCCTGTTGTTTCTCAGAAGTCTCAATGTAAACTGGTTCTGCTAGTAAATCAACTGCATGTCTTGCTTTACCTTTTCCCTGGAAGAGTAAAAAAAAAAAAAAAATATATATATATATATATATATATATATATATAATATATATATATATATATATATATATATATATATATATATATATAATCTAACTGATATTAACCTAATCCCACCAGGTAGTTTCCCGATGCGAAAGCCCTTACTCGAGGCTGCATTGATATTGGCCCAGGCCCCACTGCCAGGGGACTGTGTTGGCACCACAGCATGTGCAACATGGCACATATGCACATGCCACCCGCAATATAGTCCGGGCATGCTATGGCATGTATGTACATGCCACCCAGCGGTAAAAGGTTAGTAGATTCCATCATGAATTACATAACAGATATACACAGCATGTGAAAAGAATCCATAATAATAATACTATCAACTATTTTCCTTATTTCAGTACTATGGAGTATAGTCTGCTCTGCCAAATCACAAAAGATGCAATTTAGTGAAGCATGACTAGGTGGCAAGTCAGGTGTATATATAATGAAAACATCTGAAGGGTTAATACTAAACAAGCCACAAATAAAGCAATGAAAGGAAGAACAAAAAAAGGTGAATATGCCTAGGGCCTTTTTGCTGCATTGTTTCTTCAGGGCATCATTTCATTTACAAAACAAAACAAAAAACCTTAGGAAAACATCTTCTATTGATTATTTACATCTTATCTAGAATAACTTAGTAAGATAAAGATACCATAGTGACATTTACTTATAAGACCCTAAATTAAAACAGAAAATAAAGATCTAAAAATGTTATCCAATATCTTATTTTTCAATTAAAAAGGGTTTGGTTAACCCATTCGCGCCGGGTAAAAATGAACAAAAAATGGGGGAAAATGCCGTGCTCAATTTTTATACTTTTTGTGAAATTTTTCTACACTAGATGGCTCTGCCTTACCTGATTTCATTTGGTGGGAAAATGTATTTTTACTATTACAGTGAATATCGATGGTTATTTTTATTATAAACATTATAATTACTATACTGTTAGTAACAGCAAAATAAGATAACGTATAATATTTTCGTAAATTAAAGAATAGGGTAAACAGGCGAGACAAGTACAAGTGCAGCCATCTATGTGTGAAAACAATTAAACAAGTAAACTCACAGTGGGCCCGTCCCATATACGTGACACCCGGCGTGAATGGGTTAATGCACGGATGATGCTTTGTGTCTCATATGTCTACCAAGGTTAAGAACCACCAGCCTAGATTGAGTTATTATGAAAGTTTGGATTCCTTTGATCAAACTTTATATTATACAAATGTCTAGTATACACAAGCAACTAAAATCATTATTGCCCTTATAACCCTATACATCTTAATTTTCTTAATAGACTGAAAATAATTTCAATATACTATATATCATGGCTACAAATAGATAAATCTGGCATGAATACTGACAACCATGACTGAAGATGCACTTTTAAGCTGTTTTTTATTTAATATCTTCACTAATGGATGTCTGAGCTTTATTCAGACTGAAGCAAGATATGAATATCATGAGAAGATGCACAAAAAGAAGTATACACCAATGAAATAGCTAATGCAAATTGATATCAAATGACACTTTAACACTAATTTCAACTGAACAAACTAAATTAACATAGCAATAAAAACTGTTAAAAGTATCTGATACCAAATGTAGAGAAAGACAGATAATCATAAACCACTGCCATCCAAAACATCATGGGGACTTATACTTTACCTTCTTTTGCATAACTGGATCATGCGGATTCCTCATGTACATATGGACTGACTTTTTTGACTGGTGTCCAGAATAAAACTGAAGGCTAACATTATCCAGGCACACGGAGAATAAAGACACACATGTCAAGTCCCGTATGTTATCAAGGGCGGAGAATGATATAACTTCCTCTACCACGGACGCTTGCAGTAGTGTAATGTTCACCTGATTGAAGAAAAATATTTGTTAAAGAGAATCTTACATTAATTTCTAATTCTATATTCCTAAGAAAATGTATACATAAATATATTAACAAGAGAGATATATATTAATATCAAAACAAAAAATAAAAAAATATGATAATTTTCAAAGAAAGCATTTGCACACGTTTTACTCTCCTTAATGAATTTGATAATTTTCCACTATTCACATTCTTGCCTCAAGGCACTTTGTTTTAAAGTTAAACCAACATTATTCCCCACAATATTTAACCTGTATGCTGATATTTTTCAAAGATCACTCCCCACAACATTTTCCCTATTATTTGATATTTTTCAGTAAATCCAACAAAAGACCCCTTTCAACAACAAAGAAGAAAAAATATTTATCAACCCTGGTTAAACATTAACCCGATGCCTTCAGGATGGCATGTATCTACAGCCATGCCCACTGTGAATTTGGTTTATTAACCCAATTACCATGGATTTATGTAATACCCCCTGTAGTTTTTTGTGAATTTTGTTATATAGGGTCCATGTGCTCAGCCAGCAAGGAGCCTAGCAGTAGGACCTAGAGACCAGTCCTGATTTCCCCATTCCTTGAATTGGCAGGAAAATGTGTTTTTCTTTCTAATATTATTGATACCAATACTGTTATTATTTTTACTGATATTATGGTTATTAAATTGTTATTAATCTTAGGGCTCCCTTTGTGGCTAAGCAATTGCAGAGCCATCTATATGCAGAGATATTTCACAACACATTACTACACCAAAGGCAACATTTTTCAAGTGACAGTGGGTTAACCACATTAAACAATAACCCATAGACAATTAGCAGTCCATCAATTTCATGGCATCACAATACATCATTACAGAATAAAATAAAGAAGTATCTGTATATAATTTCTGTGTATTATTACAATATTTCCAATTCTAATCTATAATGATATCAAGATGAAAACTGTAAATTGTCCTCTGTAATATCATTTGCTTGACAGAAGGATACTATTCCTTGTATGCCAAAAATATAGATCCTAAGGGTTTATCTAAATTTAATCAACACAATAGCCTCTGTTGTATATTTGAAGATGATCATTCTATGTCAAAGATTTGATTATCTTATTCAAGCTCACAGCATCTTAGTACTTACCCTTGGCACTGTGACTTGTCCCTGCATTTGCTTGAAACAACTCTCCTGGTAGGTTGTGCTTAGGACTGCCGATTGTTCGGGTGTTCCTGCTACTTTTTTATCTCTAAGCCGAGACCAGTACATGTAACGTTCCTTTTTGAGGGTATTCTGCCCCGCAACTGCAGACAATGACTTCATGTGTGCACGGTTGATAATTGACATGGGATGCAGCTGCTCCATCACTGGTGTAAGAGCCTATAAAGAGAAATAAAACTCAAAGTAATAATGTATACACAAATACTTTGGTCTAATTTATTCTAAAACAGCGGAACTAGAAGAATGTTTAGGAGATAAAAGTAATGGATTGAGCACAGGAAGAGAAAGACATGGTAGCACTAATGGTTAATCACCTCAAACAAGTCACTTAGCTTTTAAGATTTTACTTACCTCAATAAATAGTTGGGCAGATTCTAGGGCCATTGGAGAAAGTGTTATGTCTATATCCTTCTTCAGCTTCACTACCACAGTGGTACGTGTAGTATTAGCATCGCATACCCCACCAACCACATCCTGCAATTAATCTTCTAATAAACCAAGCTGTCTTTTTATTTAATTTTTATAAAATGTTAAAAACAGATCAATAAAAAAAAACACATTCTATTTTAGTAATCTTAAATTAAGTACCTGTGAATCCTCATGGCCCATCTCATCCTGTGCATCTCCCCATGTGAATATTGGAGTATCCCAGGTATAAGGGTGTGATGGTGTGCGACCTGATGCAGGTGGAGGAGACCTTGGGGGGGCCAATCTTCCACTGTCAACCATCCTGATAGCTGTGAAGCCTTCACTTATTTTCTCAAAGACTGGAATGTGACACTCTGGAGCTCCACAATTGCAGGCCTTGAAGCTTGGCATCGGGGTGTCCCAGTTCAAACATCGAAGCTAAAATGACATGAGGAGCAATGTGGAGATGATGCAAATAATACAACTGTATAAGCAGAATAACTATACAACAATTTTAACATAGCATAAGATCTTGAAAACAGTAACACACGTAACCCAAAATATTACAGTAATTCCAGTAACATCCTCACTATCAATAGCTAATGAGTTTTTACTGATACTTACTTCATTAGGAACAAAATCAACTGTATCTATAGTATCCAATAATATATAAGCACACTGCAAGATCTTTTACATTAACAGTATCATTATCTACTTGTATATCTTAAACATTTTCTCAATAAAAATTATTGCTCTACACAGTAAGATTAGAGCTGAAAAGCTAATGGTCAGGATTAGTGATGGAAGAATAAAGAGGAGTAAATTGCTTTTTTACAATAAAGTTTGGTTCACAGGGTTTTTATTTTACTATTCTATTCCTTTAATCTGACCTTCTATGAATCTTGAAACATCTACTTAAGGAAATAAAACATTTAGTTGATAAAAAATATGAACAGGATTTCAGGTATTGATTATTATCATTTGAAAATATGAAAAACATAACCTAAAAACAATAATAAACTAGCCCTTCATACTTGAGTCATGTGGTTAATATAGGAAGACATGAGAAGTGGAGAGTCAGTAATTGGTTTGTTGAGTTGCATGTGAAGATCTACAAGGGCAATGTCCTCTTGAGATGAAACTGCAGATATGAAGGACGTGCTAGATACACTTCCAACCTCAGAACTGCTATCTCCACTGCAGTCCAGTGATGCCTGTTCCAAAAACAAGGTTATTATCTTGAAAAATATTATGCTGGCTATAAAAGCAAGTAAGGACTGGGCTGATCACTTCTCCACTGTTCTATCAGTTTAGTAAATTCTAAAAAGTTTCTGAAAATGTTTTTGAAAGCATTACTCATCTTAAAACAAACATTTTCACAAAATCAAAAAGCATCTATAAGTATCTAATTTTTTGCATGAATCAGTACTTACTTCACTTGGGATTTCATTACCTGAATCCTCTCCCTCTTCTTTCTGGATCTCTTCGGTTGGTGGTATTCAGATCCTCTCGAAGACTCAGAGCCAAGTGAATGCAGGAGGGATGCTTGGCTGTGGTCTAAACATGGACTGTGACCACTGCTACTACAGCTGCTTGTGCTTCTGCTACTATCATGTCTACTTCTACTACAGGAAGATGATTGGTTTTTGTAGCCTTCCTCAGTACTAGAAAAGGTTTATACAAATGAAACTTTGATTGCAAGAAAAAAATATATATATAGTCATTAAAATTAACTAAAATTACACTTTGAAACTATCCCTCTTTTCAATTCAGTACATAATATTTTTTTCTGTAACATCCCAAAAGCATAATAAATCACCAGAGGCATAACACCTGAAAAAAATCTGAAACATAAATTAATGCACATAAAAACAATGTTGCATACAATAAAAATCATAATACAAACCTATGATAACTTCCAGAACTGATGGTAAGTTTACTGGGATCATGATGTGGGGTTGGAGGTGTTGATGTCTCACTGGAGAGATCAGTCCTTATCTGTGAATGCTGATCTTCCAGTACTGGCTGCAGGCTCAGTTGCGATGATACTCTTGACAATGTTCCTTCTCCATTTCCAATGACAGTCATCTGACAAAAACAGATCTGATAGTGACCTCCTCTAAAACTAACCTACTTACTGAAACTGTACAGATATATGGATAAGCTATTGTTGGACACTTCACAATATTAAGTACATAAACTGAATATCATCCTAGCAATCTTAGAAATCTCTTTAACCTCAACTTACTTGGTCTTCATTGGCTGAAAAGAAAGCTTCTGACTGTGTTTCACTACCAATAGAGATGGTCCTTTGCACACTAGTCAAAAGACTCTGCTGACTAGACAGTGACTGCTTTGAATTTGACTCTCTCATTCCACTCACTGACAGCCTGGGACCACTGGCTGCATGCAGTGGCAGTTCAGTTTGCAGGGACAAACTAGAAGGCATCTTTGATTGCCTTGCACTATTCACATTATCCACAGACCGTCTTAGGTCTGATAGACTACCAGGAGATGCTCCAGGTACACCCAGAACCACATCCTTGGATTCATCAGCTCCCTTGGGGCTCCTGGACTCCATATCTACTATATGGTGGTCTGAATCATGGCTAGTAACTGAGACTTCCCTCTGGTAATGGTGTCGTGGATTTAGTCTATCTGTACAATGTAAGTCTGAAATATGATGGAGAGCACTGTTTCCGCGATGTATATCTGCTGGAGTGGCTGGAGATGCACTCTTCATGTAGCCAGAGCTGAGAGCATAGTGATCTTTACTAGCAGTTGCATGCGAGTCATACTGGCTCTGAGAAAGCTCAGAATATGCTCCACTCTGAAATACAAGCTGACCTTCCTGAAGAATACTTTGGCCATAACCAGGGTCCTCTGTTCTCTCATTTACTCTGCAATACAAAGACAATAGATATAAAACCACACATGCAGATGATGATTGATGATACCATTGGAAATGAAGAAAATATATCATGACAAAGGTGGAGGTCTGGGGGTGGAGCACCAATAAGAAAATAAGAAGATGAGGTGGGAGGTCTGGGGGGTGAAACTCCTGGGTTATGAAGGTTTATAATTCATACAGCAAGGTCTGTGGATTCCCAGGAGTAGCTGGATGTAGTCATTTTCGTAAACAATTATTAACACTTTAACTTTAATATAATAATTGCAAGGTAGGCTTTGTGAAACAAAAAAATTTACCAACCAAAGTAAGTAGAAAAAAAAATCAATTACAGCATCACTGCTCACCAATTAATCAAACATACCTCAACTGGGCTATATTCAAGCCATTATAAAAGTCTTGCTTTCCTGGCTTGAAGAACAGCAATCCATTCCTGTTGTTTCCAAAGAAGGCACAGCCTCCAACACAGCCACACTTGCCAAATACCTGTGCAGATACCTTGGTGGTCTCCTGAGCCCAGAGGAACCACAGGCGCTTAGTCTTTTCATCATGCAGTTTAAGGAACCTGTGAGAAAGGAAAAAATTACAAGTGTGGTAGGGCTTGTATGCTTTGATGTGGTTTTGAATGTGTGTTGTACATAAATAATTAAAACATGAAATAACAACAATTTACAGGGAAGCAGTACATTGAAAAAGGAGGAGCTGAAAGAGGAGGAAAAGAAGATAAAGAAAGATTTCACTTTTTAAGTCAAAGTACCACGCAGTGATATCAAAATATATTCCTTACTTGTGTTGGATAAGCTGCATGTCATGGTGTAAGACATCCATACTGGTTGCTGCATCAACATACACTGGCCCCAGCATAACAGCAGAGGACTCAAGCCAAACATCAGAATACACATCAGCCAAGCCAAGTCCACCACCACCAGCACCACTTGTGGAAGTCCCACATGTGGAAGCCACCTCTATACGTCCTCCATTCTCTTTTAGGCCAGACTGACCACAGATGTAGTTTCGTGCACTTATGTTCTGGATATGGGCAGTAATTCCAGACCTTGTATGCTGACCATGAAGATTGCATGTTGCTACCCTTATAGGATAAACCTGAAAATTATATAACTTCATTGGAAACCTTTACCAGATAACAATCACAACTCATAGGCCATGCTTATCCCTATCCCTAAAAAATAAACAGACAATATATCTACACTGACCATAAAAGTTTTTTTTATCAAATTTAAAATCTAAAATCTATATTTTCTGAAAGAAATCACTGAAGCATGACAGCAAGTAGAGTTACAAAATAGCAACACTGGGTTGATATGATTATCACAACAATAATAAAATGATGGGCTTATATGTGGTCAAAATAGGTAAACCTGACTATGAAAAAATATAATTCTTCCTTTTACTTAAACTTACCTCTATACTTAGAATGGTTCCAGATTCCACCAAATTCAAATTAAGACCATCTACAGAAGCTCGTACCATCTTGTATTTTATAGCATCTGTAGTAGGACAAAAGTGGTCTGCAGTGGTATGAATGCACTGTGGCTGTGGGGTATTATGATAGCAGAACATGTAGGGTCGTGGATGACGTAGACTGTTCTCCATGTCCTCAACAGTCAGCAAAAAGGCTTCTAAAGCTGTAAGGATGTTCTGGAGCTGTAAGAGAAAAGTTATCATTGGTAGTGAAATAGTAAATATAACTCCATGTAAAAACATGTACTCCACTTAGCATCAATCTTCAATAACATTTGCTATATTCAACTGATGTAATAAATATTCTCTGTTCAAACAAATGTTGACTGATTTACCTAATATCTAGTGTAATTACATCTGCCATACCTGAGGCGTTGTAAGTTTGCCTTTGAGTGTTCCGATGGTGAGCTCCACCAACCAAGCATACTCAAGGGTCTCTTCATCTAAAGATCGTTCCTCTGAGCTGAACATGGCATGACCACGCATCTAATGAATAAATAGATAAATATCTAGAGATTTCCAGAAAAAAAAAAAAAAACATACACAAAAACATTTTTTAAAAAGTATATGTCAAGGCATTGGACAAGTTTAACATTTCATGACTATTGTTACTATTCTCAGACACACACACACACACACACACACAGATACCAGTACAGATGCAGGCACAGATACATACACATACACACACGCACACGCACATGCACACGCACAAGCACACGCACACGTACACGCACACACACACACACACACACACGCACACGCACGCGCACGCGCACACGCACACGCACACGCACACGCACACGCACACGCACACGCACACGCACACGCACACGCACACACATATATATCATACATATGTATTATATATATGTATATATCATATATGCATATGTATATATCATATATATACACATGTAATACATACACACACACACACACACACACACACACACACACACACACACACACACACACACACACACACACACACACACACACACACACATATATATCATACATATGTATTATATATATGTATATATCATATATATACACATGTAATACAGACACACACACACACACGCACACGCACACGCACACGCACACGCACACACATATATATCATACATATGTATTATATATATGTATATATCATATATATACACATGTAATACATACACACACACACACAACACACACACACACACAGATACCAGTACAGATGCAGGCACAGATACATACACATACACACATGCACATGCACACGCACACGCACACACATATATATCATACATATGTATTATATATATGTATATATATATATAAATTTACCTTAAGGTTTATGAATAAACGAAGAACTGAGCCATATAATTTAATTTCTGAAGGCTTGCTAATATGTAGATCCACACTGAATATGTCAGGATTCATTGAAGTCGGATCAAACAGTTCTCGAGGTATACTCTGTCAAAAAGGAAAATATGTTATTTATCAAATTATGCTGTGAAAACTGCCCAAACTATATCACTACCTACCCTGTGTATGTGGATTCATTT